ATCTGCCATCCGTATACAGTTAGATGCCTTTACACTTTCAATATTAATATGTGATCTTGGCAGCAGAAATAACACTTTGGAAAGCATGGATTCTGTATGTGGATTACACAAAATCCAGTAAAATAAGTTTTCAATAAATCTTCATCCCATTCTTTGCTTCCACATCAGCTACCACTTCTTAACTGTCAAAGTTAAGTTATCCTAAGGTTTTTTCCCATTCCATTTCCATAATGTTTTTATGGTTGAGCAGAATATTGAATTGATGACTGAATCAATTCAAGGGGTTTAGTACTTGCATCCTCATTTGCTAATTCCAAATATTTTTACTCTTGCTTTGAAGATTATCTGTAGTATAAATCTGGAGTGCATGTAACATAAACTTGTTGTGAACGCCTGAATACCTTTATCACAGATGTTTTTGTGGGACATTTCCCCAGTAGTTGAATTGCAAGGGATGGAGTGTGAAAATGAAAGACTGGATCCACTGAAATCAGTAGCAAAGCTTGTCACTTGTTTAACTGTGATGCCACTGGAATCTTTCTAATACTTTGGACTAAAGCATTTTTTAGATGTCACAGCCTGACATTTTCCTGTGCCTAGAATCCATAGAAGTCACAAAGCAAAATATTTCTAGAAGAGTAAGTCTACCAAAAACTTAGTGATCTTAGAGTGAAATGATAGAGTCATTCTATCGTTCTACCAAAGTCTTAGAGTCTTTGAGCCACATTTCACCATCTTTACTCATGTTGAGTATTGTCGTCTTGCTGTAAATGAGACTACTAGAGAAACTAGGTTCTGCTCTATGTGGATAAGGATGGCTGCCTCTGTCTCATAGTAAATAAAGTGCTGCTACTAGCATGAATTGCAGGAACTGTCTTGGTAAATATGTCGGTGATGACAGTAGGAGTGTTGTGATGTCTGGGCTTGGTATCTTGAATGGGAACAATGTAATATCTTGCAGAATGTCTTGGCAAACAAGATGCTGATGCCAGTGAAGATTGAGGGGTCTCATACTTTCTGGGATTAAACATTAACTCAAGGAGCACAATGCTTCCCTAGTTTTCTTGCACCTGCCATCTTTCTCTTATAAACCAGATTGACTGACAGATACAGGATTTTCTCCAGCCGTGTAGCCTCTGCTGTCCCTTTTTTATTAGGGAGCTGTTTAAATTTCAACTACATATCCCCATGAAGGTCAGTTGCATTTTCACCTTGATAGTGGTTCTCAACCTTTTAAGAATCAAAGCACTATTTGGAAACTGCCAGCTCTGAGCTTTCATTTGTTTCACTTGTTTTGTAATATGGAACTGTAGCAGGTTGGGAAATCAGCTCGTTCAAGTCTCTTACAATCTTTAAATTTGACACAATCCTTTATTTCCTGGGCACACTTGCCTCAGAATCCCTCTTATATACATCAGTCCTCAAGAACCCAAACTTAACATAGGCCATACAGAGTGTACTCACAGTCCTAAGTTTTCTCCAACTCTAAGAAGGTGCCTCTTGGTCACTGCTGATCCCGTTGCACTGCAGTCTTCCTTCTCAGTACAGCTCTGACTCCAGTTCTGTTGTGCTGCTCCCAGCCTTGTAGCCCCTGGGTCTTCTCCCAGACCCCATGAGAGGACTCTGTGGCACTGCTGCTTCTAGCTTTCTCTCACCCTCTGGTCTCTTCCCAGGCCCAGAGAAAGCTACTTCTGCTCTATGCTGCAGTCCCTCGCCTCAGAATCTTCCCTTTCTCTAGCTGCCTCTCCCCTTAGCTCCCTTCTGTTGGAAGCTTTGAACTTTCTGTGGCCAGCCAATTATCTGTATCAGCTAGCCCAGTCCTCCTAGGCAGCCTGTAATCACTTCTGACTGCCTGCAGCTGGGCTGTAGTCCTTGCCAGCCTGCAGAGTACTATAGCCTGATGTGTAGCAGCTTGCTCCAAGTCTCTCTAAGCCAGCAGCATGCTACAGGAACAAAAGTAGAACAATGCTTTTATTGCAGAGAACTTGGAAAGATCACAGCAGGTCAAAATGTTTTTGACACTATGGCTTCCTATTCAAAATCTCTGGTTTTATCTTATGAATCATGTGTAGGTGTCAGCATACCTAACAGTGGTAATGTTGAGTGATACCCTATAGTACCCTTAAATTAATCTCATGGCATGCAACCCAGGGTACCATGGCACCCTGGTTGAGAATTACAGGTCTAACTATATAGATTAGGGCTGCCAATTAATCACAGTTAATGTGCACGATTAATATGTTAATCGGTTCTTGAATTTTTTTACAGTGTTAATTGCGCACATGGTTTTGGAGTCCATGCCGGGGCTTCACTTCACCACCTCTGGGCCACCCAGTGGGACAACAGTGGCAGTTCAGAGGGCTGCAGTGCAACCTGGGGGTGGGCTCCAGGTGGCTGCAGTGGGGGAAGGGGTTAGATTGAGGCCCCCATAGTAAGGGATGGAGTGGGGAAGTGGCAAGTGCTGGCGTGAATGGGGCCCTGGGGTTGGGGCTGGGGCTGGGTCAGGGCGTGGCTCCCCACTACTGCACACACCCTTGGGAGGCATGGTGGGCACATACCCCCCAGATTTATGCTCAGGACAGAGGTGGGCTGCCCACTGTGAGCTGTGGCTCTGCGCCCTGCTGTTGTTGCCCCAGGAGTCGTGCAACACCATGTTGTGCCTCCTGCTGCTGGGTGGGCAGGGTGTGCAGTGTGGCCACGGGGCCCCATTGACCCCAGGACCTGCCCCTGCCCCACTCCCTCCCTCACTGTAGGGGCCTCGATCTCCCTCCCTGCCCTTCCCTTGCCCTCTGTCCCTCCTGCTCCACAAACTTACCTGCTGGGTGCTGTCTGTGTGTGTGTATCTGCCCCTCACTCCTAAGCCACAGCCCCACCAGCCCTGTTGCTACCCCTCACTCCTGACCCACAGTACCCCACATCCTGCCAGGG